AATCATTACAATATTAAAGAAAGCATTATCTTTGGATTTTGTTCACATTAATACACAAAATATGAAGAAGAAGACATAGAGTTCACATCAATGAAACAGAAAACTAACAACACAAAGAATACAAGTTACCCATACTCATATATATCAAAGTTTAGTGTGACATTCATTTTCGCTGAACTAGTATACATTATTGTAAAGGGGCCAGCTGAAGCCTGCCTCTGGGTGCGAGATTTTCTCGCTATGTTGGAAGACCCATTGTTGACCTTGGGCTGTTTCCTGCTGTTTGGTCGAGTTGTTGTCTCTTTGACACATTCCCCGTTTCCATTCTCAATTTTACATATATATCTTCCTGAGATAATTATGTACATATTCTATTCTAACCAATCATTTAATCATGAAACTTTCAAACCATTTATGAATGTAATTCATAGTAATTTAGACTGGTGAACTCTGTGGAGTCCTCATTGGCTAATTGTCTAGGGTAAGACAGAAATGTTGTCTTTGTTTTTGAACAAACACAAAACCACCTTTACCAATGACAAGCAGTCAATGATTAATTACCTAGTAGTCTAAGAAATCTTAACAGAATTGAATCAGCCTGCACCGTAAGCCACTAGCCTGATGCCCCAGACTAATAAAAATTTTATTCGGACTAGTAAATTTTTGCAAAACTTTGTGTAGACACATAAGTGAAATGTCTAAATATTTGTCTTCGGAATAGTAGTTGGAAAAGATTTTGGTGCAGACTGTTGAATATAACAAAAACCATTAAAAAGCAAGCAAGAAGTAGTATACCATAAATATTTTGACTTCTTGTTCTTTTTTTTTCAGGAGCTTGTTACCTATTTTCTTTTTTTAGGTGTAATTGTGCTTTATATTTATATTTTGCAGATAATAGAGAAACTGTGATAAGAAGAAATGGCCTATATAGATTGTCTTTCAAAAAAAGGGGCCATTTTATATTTCAAAAAGGTTCAATTATTCCTATAGGACATGTATACAAATAATTGATTTTGGATAATTTATCTTCTTCATGGTGCAGTCAACCAAATTCAATATTAAAATAATTTTGTCTTGGAGAAAATATCTTTAAATCTAGTGGTTTACAAAACGCAAACTTCCAGAACATGCAATGGTTTTATATCTTTTGCAAGGGTTTTTTCTGTTGTTGGATTGCTGTCTCATTTACATATTCTCAATGTCTCCATTTATTTTGATTTTATTTCCGCATCAGAAAAAATATTAATATTTAAATAGATTTTTAATATTGTATGTGATATTATTGATAGTAAAAATACATTTGTCCAATAATTATGATGCAATATCAATATTTTCTAACAATAAACATTAATTTAGAGCTTCCTGTTCTTTTATTTATTTGGCATCACTCTCACTGCCCCTTTCATAATTTTTTCAACCATTCCAAATTCAGTAAAAGCATGGGAATTCTGCAGACATGCTGTAGATTGAACCCAGACTTTATATTCTTTTCAAAAATGTACTAACTACTTCATTTTTACTCATACGTTAAAAAAATAAAACTTATAAATATTCATATATAGTACATGTATCATAAAATGTACAAATATGAATAAAAGAAATATAGAATTATAGATAGCATCAATAAATTATCATTCTACATGCAACACGTATATAGTAATAAATCTAATATAGTCATATCTTCTTACTGTATGTTTTCTCATCTTTCTTCCCGTCTTTAGATTTCTGGAGTCTGTTCTTCATAGATTCACCATCTTAAGAGCTAAAAGGAGTTACTTCCCTTTTTCAGAACATTTGATTTTAATCTCAGAAAAATATGATTTCTAGTAAAACCTTACAAGTGGTGAGTGAGCCACCAAGGTAGTACCTGTTTCAGTACATGATATAGATGGGGGGATCTAAATGTCAACGAGACAGCAACACGAAGACAAAAATAACCAAAAAGACATATAGAGGGGAATGTCATCAAAACTGACAGGTGTCTTTACTAAACTTTTTGTATATATCAAGATTTAAATAGTCACCTATCAATCAAAATTGGGAATAAATTAAGCAGAAACTATCAACAATCTGACAACAACACCAAATTCAATCATTCCAATCAACTATCACATCTCAAATACAATAAAAAAATTTAAAGAAGCCAAAACCATTTTTTTAATTTTAAAACCCATAATGATTGGACATAAGATATATTAAAACATAAAAATATGATTCATACGTTAATAAACTTATCAAGACAAAGTAAAGGTTAATACATTGATTATAATTTATTAAAATTTACTGACATCAAATAACAAAATAAAAAAACTAATGTAAAAAGTTAACATCTATATACAACCTGCTGCCATGAAAAAGTAGATTTTCTTAGCAAGTTTATAAAGGGCCATTAGCCTTTATTTGTAGGTTTTTACAAAAAAAATTAATAGTTCATCACATTTCTAAAGTTTAATACCTCTTTTTCATCAGTTTAGACTCACATAAGTGTTCAAATTTACAGGATCTTTATCTAAATCTATATGTTTACCCAATGAACAATTGATATCAATATTTTTGAAAAGGTTTCAACTAATGCAAGCCCGAAATCAGACGGTCATAAAATTTCTTTGGGTCCTTTTTTCAGGAAAATTATACCGACCCAACAACATTTTTACTGGCCTAGGCCATAGGGCTTGTGATTTAATCGTGCAGGCTGATATTTATCTTGTCTGAAGACATTGACCAAGTCCACATATTAGGAAATGTCAAATGCTATCTTTCTTAAAAAAAGAACCAAAGTTTTAATCATTAGACATGAAGCAACCTACAATTAATTAAACAATTTTTGTTAAACATTAAACATTCATAATTAAATCAAGACTTATTTTTTTATGCCAGAGATGGGTCGTCTATGTTAAAATAATTTGAATATAAAAAGTAAACAGGTTATTCATTTGTTGTTTCATAATGGAAATTGTGTACTTCTTTCCCCTCAACTCTCCATCAGTTGTCAAGGTTTCAAGAGTGGAGACAGGGGAGATAATTTCTGGCTTATTACTGGAATGTGTAATGAGGGCAGAAACCAATGGCTTTTAGAGGTGTTCATCTGTTGTAAATATGTTATGCAGTCAGACATATTAAAAATAGCATTTACATCACTTGAGGAACATAATATCTATTACCCATGCCAATTTCTGGTGTAATAGCCAAAAAATGTCCACATATCTAATCTACAGAATACACACAGCATGAACTTCAATAAAATCTGCAGGGACAAAACAGGGCACAGAAATGACTTTAGAAAATAAATGCTGCTGATGTCTACATCAATTAATTTTTCATTTAACTTCTTTTAAAGAATTATGCTGTTTAAAATTTCTAGCATTTAGTATATATGTTTAATTGTTCAGATGCAATTTCTCAAAAGGAAATTATGCGCACTTATAATAATACTTGTTTTTGTTCATTTATAATTTTCCTTTTCTTTATTGAATATCCTGCTACAATCTGATTTAAGATCCAGAAGTTAAAATTACAAATCCCTTGATAAATCTTATAAATTACATAATAGCGAACTTCCCTATCAAAGTTTGTTAAATTTTTTTAGCCTGGGTTAAAAACCTAGTTACGCCACTGACATGTTATCTAACAGTGACCAATCAATGCACAATGCAACTGTACACTGGTGTAGGGGTCCACTCAGGGAGACATAAAATCAAATTTCATACTTTGAAAAAAATATTTCAAAAGCATCAGAATTCATTTGTGATAAAAATAATGCATTAAGTGTTTGTCCAACATTGATTTTTCAAAACTGGGTGTTAAATGTTATGAAAAAATACATTATTCAACAGTCTATTGCACATTGTGCATTCAAAATGCAATTTAAACACCTATTATTGTTAAAAAATCAAATTTTAAAAGGCTGTAAAAAGTAATTTATCTAATGTGAAAATAATAAAATATGATCGATGGATAGTTAGAGGCCTTTGAGAACAGGGTAGCAAAAAATGTTGCTAGACATTTAAGCCTCAGACAAGGTCAAAATGTCTTATCTAAAATTACACAATAAACATGCCCTGACTTTCAAATATACACCAGTTCTATAACACCTATATTTATGGACACTATGACTCATATCTTTTTGTGCTGCCCACTCTCATATATTACACAATTCAGTGACCATATACAATTATACTTCACTAATGTATGCAAACATTTAATGCATAACACTAGACATACATGTATATAAAAACACCATGGGAAAATATAATATATGATTTTTAAATTGGTGAAGATTATTAAAATGAAACAGTTTATCTTAACCTTTAAAATTCATACATGTACATACTGCTAAAGTTCTGATAGATATGTGTTTAAAAAAAATTCAAAAACTAAATATTCTAAAGGAAATGAACAAGTCTTCTTTTTTTTTTAAATAGAAGTATCTATTTAATAAAGTTAACTCACATGAAACATAAAAGATAAAAAACTGAGAGAGAGAGAGAGAGAGAGAGAGAGAGAGAGAAATCAGTCAAAAATAAAAGAATAAAATTAAAAAGACTAAAAGTACACCTCAATGATGACAAAACAATACTCACTATATTCTTCCAATATAATATGATTTCTATTTTTACTATTTCCATTCATGTATTAAAAATCAATGAAGTTAGTTAATCCAAAATACTGGGGTATGAAGAACTGCATGTAGAAATATGACACAAATATTGTCACAGATATAAAACATTCTATACTTTAAACAGGTGCTTGAATTTAATGTAGATACAAAAACCAATCAGTCTTTTTGTTTAATAGTTGATGAAAAGAGATGTCGAAATTGAAAAGAAAAAATGTGTATTGTCGCGTCACTTGTGTATTACAACATAACTGAATACACAACGAATACGTAACCTTGTCCCCGTTGGTCAACACACGTATTTGACATGGTCCACGGTGACCATTTATATATAAATAAAAAATAGAAATTAAAAGAAAGACAATATAAAATTTTGACAACTTACGAGAATCTAGGGTCCGTCTTTGTTGTGGCCGCCCCTGTTTTCTCCTGGACATGTTGTTATGCTCATTAAAACCAACTCTCCACTGCCTTTTCTACATCTGGACAAAGAATATCAACAAAGATGGCGGATTTTCATGTAATGTGTCTTCTTCACCTGTCTTTTTACTTATCTTCCATTCCAAAGTTTACATCATCAGGACAAGTCCTTGGGGTCACTTCAGGTCACTTATGCCACTGACCGCTACAACGTAATGATCACTGACCACGATCAGGAAATACCCTCTCGACGAATGAAAGCAACTGTTTATCGTGGAGACCTTTTGTAGTGGACGTAAATATCCTATTTCTTACGTGAACTTAAATAGATCTACGATATAATAATGTATTTTGTGTATTGTTCTAGTTTCAGTTTATAGAAATCAACATCAAGCACATGTCACTTTCATCGCCATCATTTAGTCCAGTTGAGTTGCTGCGGCCGTTCTCATCCCGGTAAAGTCACTGACTCCTGACCAAACATATATATATGTATGATTTCAGTCATTAATCAATATAAAATAACATATTGGGTTTTTGAAAAGTAAAAATTTGTCGTCAAAACGCCTTGTAATCGTGCGGTCAACTGATGCGTGGTGGCCCGTAATGTTACAAGCAAATGACCCCGCCGACCGGCACAGTCTATTACATCAAAAGGGGTAAGAGGTTTGCGCAATATTACGTGATTTTACATCTGCAAGTGTGACCATCATTTCCGCATGTGTATTCACCAATAATTTCTGCATTCCGTTTGCATTTACAGAAACTGCTGGCACTTGCTAACTGATTGAATTGACACACATATATACTATAAATAAAGTAAACACCTTGAAGTTGTCTGTTTTTGATTGTAACGGTCACTTACTTTCTGGTCAATGTCCGATATGATAAGTTTTTAATGACAGCTTTGTCCAATGGTTGTGTATTAGTTGATCAAAGTGATAAGAGAATCAAACAAAGAAAAACATATCATAAATTATTTATAGATATTGATTTAGTGGACAGTTGCTTTTTAATATTTTCTTCATTATTATGTTATTGAATAATATTATGTTTAAAGGGAAATAAACGCTATTATTCAATCTTACCCAATCCAAGTTTTTTCTTCTGCAATACACAGGCCATATCATCTACACCTTATCGCTTGTAGTTCATTTCAGGTGAACAGCTGACCTTAAATAACTGTTGTCCAGACGTCTATTAAATACCATGTTATCGATCAATACTGACCACAGACTGACCAAAGGTCAACTCGGGTGATAGCCAGTGGTCATTAACGGAAATGTTTGTGTATTCAACAGGTGGACACCAGTGTCTCTACGGAAATAATAAAAAAAACATTGAAATGAAGAAAGGATGACTAAAAGCAACAGTATTATTAGTATTGATATTATTAAATTATATTCAATATTTATTTTAGCTATATAATACAAAAATATTAATAGCTTGATAAACACGTACGTAAATGAAAATAGACTGGTAATATTTATTATACGCTTTCGATGAAATTTTTCTAATGCCAAGGATTAAATTTTTAGTATGGAGGGTTAATTGAAATCCCCCCCCCCCCAAAAAAAACCCAAACAAAACAAAAAAACAAACAAAAAATAAAACAAAAAACAACTGAATAAACAACAAAATTAACAAAAGAAAAAAACCCAAGTTATTCCCCGCCAGATTTCCATGTGCCTCTCCCAAATCAGGAACCACGTTATATTTAGATTTGTGCAGTTCTTTGATAGTATGTTTTGTTCGTATTCACAGGTTTCTAGACTCGGAGCGAGTTAAGAGCAAATACAGTATATACAATTGTTATAATTTTAAAAATTTAAATAAATCTTCTAAATTTTTATGGCTCTTGACTCAAGAAAATGTAACTCTTATGGAAAAACTGGGCTGTTATATTTGTGACTGTTTTGAATTAAGGAGATCAGGTATGCATATTGACACTAAGTCAAGTAAATGATTTGAGAATGAATGCATATAATGTAATTTTATTCTTTTATTCACAATATATATGTGGTTTTTGGCTCTGATTCTGACCAATGCTAATATACTAAATATATATTTTCAAGTGACTATTATTGTTGTTGTTACCAATTATGTAAATCAATTGTATCTGATTTTATGCCCTTTATGGGCCCTGTAATTTGGGAAATAAAAATATTCTATTCTATTCTATTCTATACGCACTTGTCCATTGTTGATCATTGTTAGAGACTGTAAATTAACCCCGAGTGTCGTTATGTGATTGATCGTAATAATGTCATACTAGTATTTGCAAAAATTCAGTTTTAGAACATTTAAAAGCATAACCTAAAATAAGACAAGACAAACAAGGCGAAAAGTAGTATAAAGAGACGGTACCGATTTCCCATGAGTAAGTTTCACACAGCCTAAAATTCGATATTGACTAAGCATGCTGTTGGTGATAATATTGATAAAATTAATGCAAGTTTTCAATGTTACTCTGTTAAGTTTTGTATACTTTACTAGAATACATATATTTGTATCTTAAAGGCAATGTCCCCAGCTTTATTTCAAATAAATTTGTTATTGATAAAGAATACCCTTTTCATTTATTATTTTTATAAATACTAGAAATTTGACATCTATAATTGAAAAGAAGCTGTACACATATATACTTTTGAAGCTGTGATACTACAAATTTTAGTACAGATTGACAAACCTTCGGAAAACACCATTAGCTTTAAATAGATTACAGAAAACACCATTATAGCTTTAAACACAGCGTTTACCATAAAATGTCGAAAGCCAATATATATATATATATATATAATATATATATATATACGTCTGAACCAGTGACAACTCTACAACAGATTTATCCATCGGATCACCAGCAGTGATGTTGATACATGGCTGTGTACATTCTGTATATACAACTCGTCTAAACATCAGCCCAACAATGTTAGATCTGTAAATATATATAGTAGATGTTTAATCGACTCAATAGATTTTATAGGCCGGTGGCTAAAAGATCACATAATTATAAAAAAAATATGCGAAAAAAAGGGGGTTTCCCCCTGGATCCGCAAGTGGAGATGAACACTATGGTTTTTTTTAAATATTCAATGACCCCCTTTTCAAAGTATTTTTCACCCGATATTGTTTTGAGCATATCAAATTAAGTAGGTTCAGCAAAGTCGATGACTGATCTAGGTCGGCATATTAAGACTGTTACCAGAAATGAAAAAAAAAACGAACAGTCATCTTGGGTAGATAACTAAATGAACCCCTTTTGAGTATATTAAAAGACTACAAAATATATATGTTAACAGATAGGAGGGTCATTAAGGTCCATCATTGGCCCTATAATTGTCAATTTTTGTTTTTCATAGAAGTGGATAAGATATAGACATATATTGCATAATGATATGTCTTTTCTAAACCATTTTAGTGTAGATTCTATTGTACACGTATAAAAATCATTGACCATCAAACCTATGAAATCACCGAAGATGAAAAATTTAGTGATTTCACTACCAAAATGGATATAATATTTTATTTGAAATTTTCAAAATATAGAACCAAACGCCGGACCATCACAACGAATGTGTAACTTTGTAGAAGCTTATACTGCCACAAAGTATGTCCGTGGTCAGAGATTATGCTGTTGACTAATACCCCCCTCCCCCCCAAACCCCCCCCCCCCCCCCAAAAAAAAAATCAAATCAATTTTACATAAGTTTGTCAATTTCCGTGACCGTTTTACCTTTTGGGGATTGGAATGAACACCACATTGCACAAGTTTTAACGATTTAAAACCGCAATCATAAATCGTGTCATTATATATAAAACAAGTGCTAAAATAAGGTGTTAATGTTCATTATTTGTTTGGAACTTTAATTAAAATTTACAAATTGTTTCAATTCAATGCAGACAAAAAACGCCGAATTCAAGTGAATTATACATTATAAGGAAAAAAATATTACTGGAAGACAAATTAAATCTCTTATCTACGTGAATCCAACTAAAAACAGACATATCTATATATTCGTGGTGAATTGAAAACACTGTCGAACGCCTATTGTTACCCCCTTACATGTTAACTTGTTTAAAAAATTCATGAAAACGTTGCTTCCGAAGGGAAGTGATAAAAGATTTATTTGGCTTCCATCGAAAATTAGTAAAAATATAAAATCAGCAAAATGTTTCTTTATGTTATTAAGAGAGTTTGTTTTTGATTAAAGTTGGAAAAAATGTTTGTCCCAGAAAACAATCATTGTACCCCTCCCGAAAGAATGGTCGCTGCTGGATGGCTAGTTCGAAGATCAGTAGGTACATTTGACACTTTTCCCTAGTGGGAAAGCATCAATCAAACATGACAGGGTCTAAAAATAAACATTTGGATCCAGTCTTTTATTAATTAACATGAAACCAAAAGACCTTTGACAGAACTGCCAAACATATTTACATCCGTGTCAGCATTAAGTTTGCCTCAGGGAGATAGAGCTAGGCAAAATTTATTTAGTTCAATACTCGAATAGTAGATTTAAATGAAAATGTGACCGCACGCTTTCACAATATTGCATCAAAATAAGGTATTAATTAATCATCGAAAAGCAGAAATTATCAACACCTTTTTCCGTTTTTATAGACTTGGTATTCTTATTTTACCGGCGGACATCAACTTAAATTGTTTAACCATAACATGCTGTTTTGTTTTGTTTTGTTTTAATGGTAGCTCTTTAATAATCAGACATATTTCTTTTAAGCCGTGTTCAATTTATTTTTACTCTGAACGCTTTAAAGCTAAACATATTTTTAGACACTTGTCAATTGTGAAAGGCTGTGTTGCCCGCTAACTTTCTTATGGTTATTTATATCGTTGGGTTGCTGTCTAAACATGCACAAACCCTCATCCCCTTTTATTCATACTTTACATGTAAATATATTTCATCGCGATTTATGAGGTGGTAATGTCATTTTCAAAAAAAAGGGGGGGGGTCAAATGGCCTTCCCCTCACTAAGAATATAACCAAAAGGAATCATAGGGACATACATTAAGATCACTGCATGCAAAATTTATAGCGATATCAGATGCTCGAGAAAGTTCATTTTAGGGATATGAATAAAAGAATAGGGGATACATGTCAATAAGACAGCAACCCAGAGACATCACACCAAACGACTAAAATGCGATTTTCAACTGTTTTAATTGAGTCAAATCTGGGTTGAGAAAGGAACAAATTTGGGAAATATGTTTCTAGTCGGATTGCAAACGGTGTGAAAAAGCTATGGAACCAGTGATGGCGAAAAATAAACACACTGACTCGGTACCCGGAACTATTAGTCCCTGAAGGCATACCATCCACCTAGTACCCATTGCGCCGGTATTGATATCAATTGAATGATGCATTTTGTAATTGTGATAAAAACTTAGGTTGCAACTCCGTCAGGTTTTGTCTAATATTTCATTTATACACTTTTTACGCTCTCAAACGGTTTGTTTTTGTCTTCCCGAACGTGTCTAACGAATTTACTCTAGCAACACGTGTTGTGTCGTAGGAAATTATATCTTTCGGTTTTTTATTACAAACTTTAGACCCTTTGACGCCTATGATATACTCAACATAAAAATATTGCAAAACAAGTTAGATAAACTGTAATTACTATATTTATATAATAACATCCAAACATAAACTGACCGTTGATTACACACATATATGTATTACAAATACTTGAGTTTTACTGAACAACAAAGTTGAAGCCTTCACATCGAACGCTTTTTACTGTCTCTATCATAACTTGGTAGACAGAATATCTATGTCAAAGATGACCATGGATATGATCGTATTACACACGAATATATATAGCGAATCCAAGTCCTTATTGTCAGTAGACGTTCATTTTATTTTTTGCATATAACTCAAATCGATGACCGGTGTTCTATAAAGTCCCGTAAAGTAGAGCTTGAAGAACATCTTTTGATCGATGACGAATGGGATCGAGTTTTGAAAGGTACACCAACACACACATGCAAGATCTTTATAAGCTGTGTATGGAGGTAATTTCTCTACCCGTCAAACTTGTGAAACATTACGATGTGATTTGTTTGAAAGTAAGGATTGGTGGTAATGCTATTATACATTGAACAAATATGCTTTTGATAATATCTGGAATACCAAAAAGAAACGTGAACTTGCTACGGTGCCGATAATACAGCGACGTCATAGATATAGCCAATGGCAACGCGTTATCGAAGATTCGTCGCCGATACATAGAGGCCGGATTTTTCGTTGGAAGTCTAAAGGTCTAATCGATTTAAGCTTTTTCCAAACTAAGGAGTGATAGAAAAGTTGGTGAGTAGTTTGGCTTCTCATTTTCTTCCAATGTTATATTCATTCGGTAGAAATGACTGAAACTGGATTTTTAGCGTTTTAGCTTCAATGAAATCAACACTGTCGAAACAGGAGCGAATGGTATTATAATTTTAACAGACAACGTAATAAATTAGTTTCAAGCTAGGAACGAACAATGTTTCATTTTAAAAAGGAAAATAACAATGAAAAATGGGAGAATTAAAATCTATGATTATATTCATTTTTACCCACTTATTGTCATATAGCACCACAAGTAGTTATACATTCAGGGCTTTCAAATTTTTAGATTTTGAGCATTTCGGACGCACCAAGTTTACAAAGTGTTATCCTTATTTACTATCACTGTGTCGATGCCTCTGCTGAAAGACGATTACAGTCACCCCGAGGGTATCATTAGCCAAGTAGTCAATGGTTAGACAGTGATATATTTATAACATACATTTCATAATTGTTCGTTGATAAATATTCTTTTGATATACTAGTATTTGAAAATAGTTTAAAATTTAAGGTTCCAACCTAATCAGTCAAAGTTTAGAAATTTTTTGCTTTTCGTTTTGATCATAGAGCTCTGCAAGCATTAATACACTATTGGCTTTACACTATTGGGTTTGAGGGTTACCGATGACGGACAATTAAAAAAACCAACTCGGATGCAACAAAAATTAAAAAAAAAAAAACGTGTTATATATTAAATTTGTATCATTTTTGTACGTTTATGATTTTGTACATTTTTGATAAATCAATGATTAGGTAAACATATATTTTCCCTAACATTAAATAAATTATATTATAATTTAAGATTTTTCAAATCGGTAAAAGAGGATCAAGCTTTTCTATATGAAGCTATGCTCTCTGAACCGAAAACTGGTTGGGAAGGATGGACAGGGTTTAAGAAAAACCAGAAGACAACAGATAATGGAAAAGAAGACATAACAACCACAGCAGGTAAATATCTCCCATTACAGAACCCAAGGAGTTCTTCGGACAGATTTTAACTCAAAGAAAATACTAAACAACACTCAACTGGCATAACAAAGAAAACTGACAAACTTACGACGAAATTTAAACAAAAGTAAAAAAAAACTTCAAAAAGTCTAGAAATGTCTCCAGTTTGCATGCATACACTATTTAATTTCATCTGTCAAAATACAGACAATTGACATGCAGATAGTCGCATGCTAACGACACGCATATCATAAAGTTCTCCAAGTGTTGTATAGTCGCATGGAAACGACACGCATATCATAAAGTTCTCCAAGTGTTGTATAGTCGCATGGAAACGACACGCATATCATAAAGTTCTCCGTGTGTTGTATAGTCGCATGCTAACGACACGCATATCATAAAGTTCTCCAAGTGTTGTATAGTCGCATGCTAACGACACGCATATCATAAAGTTCTCCAAGTGTTGTATAGTCGCATGCTAACGACACGCATATCATAAAGTTCTCCAAGTGTTGTATAGTCGCATGTAAACGACACGCATATCATAAAGTTCTCCAAGTGTTGTATAGTCACATGCTAACGACACGCATATCATAAAGTTCTCTGTGTGTTGTATAGTCGCATGCTAACGACACGCATATCATAAAGTTCTCCAAGTGTTGTATAGTCGCATGTAAACGACACGCATATCATAAAGTTCTCCGTGTGTTGTATAGTCGCATGCTAACGACACGCATATCATAAAGTTCTCCGTGTGTCCGCATATCATAAAGTTCTCCGTGTGTTGTATAGTCGCATGCTAACGACACGCATATCATAAAGTTCTCCGTGTGTTGTATAGTCGCATGCTAACGACACGCATATCATAAAGTTCTCCGTGTGTTGTATAGTCGCATGCTAACGACACGCATTTCATAAAGTTCTCCGTGTGTTGTATAGTCGCATGCTAACGACACGCATATCATAAAGTTCTCCAAGTGTTGTATAGTCGCATGGAAACGACACGCATATCATAAAGTTCTCCAAGTGTTGTATAGTCGCATGCTAACGACACGCATATCATAAAGTTCTCCAAGTGTTGTATAGTCGCATGGAAACGACACGCATATCATAAAGTTCTCCAAGTGTTGTATAGTCGCATGGAAACGACACGCATATCATAAAGTTCTCCAAGTGTTGTATAGTCGCATGTAAACGACACTCATAAAGTTCTCTGTGTGTTGTATAGTCGCATGCTAACGACACGCATATCATAAAGTTCTCCAAGTGTTGTATAGTCGCATGGAAACGACACGCATATCATAAAGTTCTCCAAGTGTTGTATAGTCGCATGGAAACGACACGCATATCATAAAGTTCTCCAAGTGTTGTATAGTCGCATGTAAACGACACTCATAAAGTTCTCTGTGTGTTGTATAGTCGCATGCTAACGACACGCATATCATAAAGTCCTCCGTGTGTTGTAGACGTTAGATTATCTCTAAAAACATATAAAAATAACATCAGTTTTGTAAATATTTGGTTTCATTTAAACGAAGCCATTTACTATGGTATTTAACATGTACGACTGTTTTTTTTTTATATATATTTAGTGATAAGTTAAGTTTATAAATCCTGCTTTGATTATATTGTTTCGAAGGTGAAGCTTCAGCGTCTGGTGGGAACCAAGAAGATTACATAGAAATCAGAAACTCAGTTGGAAACCTCATCGGATACATTAAGAAGGTACCTTGTATATTATCTGTCACTTTCTATAGTATCTGTATTTAATATTTGTCTCACTTTCTAAATTATTTGTGGTTTTCTATAGTAGCTGTCGTAATTATTTGATTCGATTATCCAGTTTGTTTGCTCTAAAGACCCGACTGTTACCTTTTTTCATTTTGACCAAAGTTCCATACAAAGATATAGTATTTTCGAACAAATCATGAATTGGTTCCTTAATAGTATTGTGTAGCGAATACTGGCTAATATCATTACAAAATAGAATTGTCCTATATATATTTTCCCTATATTTGTTATCTGTTTAGTGCTATGTTTTGCATAGGACTGACCATATAAAACCACGTGATGCGTTACAAGTTTCAGACTTAAGATGCAACTAGCTTTTAAGTGAACGAGCTTTACAAACAATATATTGAAATATTTTTTTAGGATGAAGTCAATCTTGACTTTGATACCGAAAAGACGGTAGAACATAAGAAAAGAGATAAAATGGAGAAAGCAATGGATAGAGAAACAGAAAAGGATGAAAACAAGGTTGTCAGGAGATATGAGAAAGTTGTTGATGGAATGATGCATCAACATATCAAAGATATACGAAGGAAAATCGCAGAACTGAAACAGGAACTTAAGGAACACGAAAAGAAGCTAAAATTAGATATAACAAAACGACAAAGAAAGCTAGAGATTGATATCAAAGAGAGCAAAAAATTTGAGAAAGGTAAATGTGAAAAAGTTTTTTTGGAACATAGAAATTGCGTAAGAATAGCTGTCATACATATGTGTTTTGCCACACATGTTCCCTTTTCTATGCAGGACAGTCTATTATGATCAAATATTGGAAATTAAATTCACAAGTCCGATCAGAATTGTGTTGGATAGAAATCCGTCTTCGTCATTCAGTTTGGCAACCAAAAAAGACTGTGTGGTACAAACTAAAAATTCCCACCCCATATAAACTCAACAGATTGTGGCCTCAATCTAAAGGACGTGTTGTTTCAACTGGAAATTCAGTCACATTTATTTCATTTATATTGATAATATTAAGTTATATATCTTTCGGTAGGTTGTGTGTTTTGTTGACCGGAGGATAAGGGCAATGGTATTGAATGAAAAGTCTGTCCAAAGTCGGTAACCTCGCTATTTGTTGTCTTAAGATCTTTTTAGACTTTTTAGATCGGAGATGCTGTCACGATGGCGACATGTCGAGAACTCATAGTTAATTTAAAAAATCGATTTTGATCTCTTTACAAGGAGAATGAAACTTTCATATTTATGAATATGTGATTTTTTATGCATAAAGAACAAAATATCAATTTTTCATTTTTTTTTGCGGAGTTTCCCTTTAATTAAGTGACGATAATCGATGGTTCATAGTCTATTTTAAAGGAAAAGGATCTGCCCAGTGATCAATATTTCGACACGGGTCAATATCTATTACGTATAAGTTTTAATTATGTTGAGAAATTCTGTAATTTTAACCGAAACTACTGCATTTCTTTAGCTGTTGTTTGGCATAGAATATTTTGATTACCATATAGCTTAAAATACCATATGCTTATACATGTTTGGTTTTTCAAATGTTTGGAGTATCTAGAAACACTCTTCGAATAGAGTGAATAAGGTACGTTTCACATTTATACTCGTGAAATGCAATAATGTTTAAGTCTGAGATATTTTTGCATTTTAGAATTAAAGAAAAGAAAAACCAAGAAAGAGACTGGAGTAAGTACAAAGTAAATGAAATAGAAATACTAGTACATAAAATAAGAAAGAAATCAAACGAATTAAAGGTTACTATATGATCCCTGTGGTCATGTTAATACAGAAGACCTTATCATTGTTCAAGACCGAAAGGTTATAAGGTTAACCTTCTTTTTATAATTGGAAGAAATGTAGTAAAGTTATCATGCAGCAACCTTCTTTTCTCTTCCAGGAATTGTTGGTGCAGAAGACATTATCATTGTTCAAAAACGATAGGTTAAATCGTCCATCTTCTTAATTTAATTGGTAGGAATGTTGTCCAGTTATCAGCGACCCCCCTTCCTCTTTACGGCAATTGCTAATAAAATTCTTTGAATTCTTTCTTTAAAAAATCTCGAATCTTGTTGATAATCTTCTCTAATGTTTTGAACGAAATTCTTCTAAAACTCTTGTTAAACGACTTAAAACAAATTAGTATGTCTTTGTTCTTTTCGATTGGTTGCTGTCTTATTAGTGTATACCCACAAATCCTCTTATTCATAAAATAAGCTAAATGTAGCAATGCATCGCTATGTTAATATTCCTTTCACCATCCCCACGAAAGCTCACGTTACATTAACTAATAAAAAGAACTTTTATTTAAGGAAGAAAAACACAGAAAAAAGCTTTTGAAGAATGAAATGAAACATAGAAAACAACTGATAAAGGACGACAAACGAAAAGTAAAGAGAGAAAAAGAAGACAATAAGAGATATTTAAAATCAGTGGATGATATAATGAAAAGTTGCCTCAAGGATTCAGAACAGGAATGGGAAAAGGAAAGTAAAGTACTGAAAGCATGTATGAAGAAAAAGAAATAAAGAAGAAACAATAAATAGATATATACATATTGGAATACTTCATACATTCTAGTTTGTTAGTTTGTAACTGATATGATTAAATCTATAATTTATTTTACACACATAAATTGTTCGTTGCATTTGGCATTGTTGTGTTTTATCTATATTCGTCATTCAGCGCATTATTAAAATGAATATAAAAAAAATATATTTAAGATTAATGTTTTAAATAAGACAGTTAACGACTTTGGATCACGTGATATTAATTGCAGATTTCATCAAGATTGTATCGTATTAGCTCTAACTGTCAGTCATTGCATGTGCATGTCTTTGTGATTGTACAATGCATAAGGTGGAATACAGGAATTATCGAAAATATTGGACCGTACAAGAGTCACCATCAATCACAAACACCCGACTCTTCTGAAAAATAGACGTAACAATAACTAAACCCCTTTTTGTCCATTGCTTTATAATGATCTATAATGGCAATAAAAAAAATGCGCCCCAAAATTTCTGAGTTACAGTAGCCCGACGTGGTACAGTGACTAAAAGTGACGGGGTTAGACTTATTTTAAGTTTGTTTGCTATTATCAATAATTTATATAGTGGTTCATCTACCGTATCACTAGTTTGTCAACACCGAGGTTGCGAGTTCGTACCCGCCACGTCGATTCCAATCTTTATTAACTAGAATTGTAAATTTTCCTGCCGAAGTTCGACGGTTCTCTTCGGCTTTCTCAACCTATAAAAACTTGCCACCACGATATACCCAATAGTTGCTGAAAGTGGAGTTAAATACCAAGAATCAACCAATCAATCAATCAATGAAGTATATGAACTTTGCCTTAACAGGTAGAAGCAAAGAGCGTATCTATAGTTTCTATGAGTGATTGTTGTGCCCACCACATTTCCATTGGCATATATTTATTCAAACTAGCATTTAAATTCAACGTTAGTTTTGAGTAGACCTCTACAACACAAGACTAATGCTCAATAATCACTAAATTTTTTCTTACTAAAGTTGATTACTAAAGATAACTTTTATGCAGGAAACAAATAATAAATCCCTCTGTACGGCCTTTTCCCAAAACCAAGTATAATACTAACTATCGATTTTCACGTTCGTTAAACATTAGAAGTTGAAAAAGATATTACCTTCTAAGTTAGAGCACAGACTGTGATCCTCATTTGGAAGCTTGCCTTGGAGGGAACAATGCCAGTCACTGTTAAAAGTATTGGCTTAAGAAATAATTCAACATTGGAACACGTCGAAACATGATACAAGAGATTATAAATCGATCATTGAAAAAATCCTAAAATCCTAAGAAAACCAATGAAGACAAAATTTGTTAAAGTTAAAAGATATTACAAGTATACTGTAGAAAAACTTAATTTTCATACATGTAATAGCTATATATATAGTATAGTGGATTTTATGGACTTTTTTTTAATTGAATTAAAGATGTCTGGTCTTGTTATTTACTGTACACTGCTCTCTAGATGTCTGATGGTTGTTTTTGTCGTTTCTTTGCTGTCTCATTAACGTATGCCGCACATTTCTTTCTATTCATATGAAAGGAAAGGATAATCGATTTTGACAGATGTGCTAAAACTGAGGAGGAAAAAGAAGGAACTAACCCTAGCTTTGAGAATTGGGTTTCTTATTATAGTAAATTGTTAACTCTTTTATCGAAATTATTAAGCCAAAATTAGATTAAAGTAACAAAATTTCTGATTCGATCGTAATTATCTATCTGTACTTAAGATTAAGTGAATAGAACAACCTAGTGAAAAAAGTTTAACGTGAAATCAAGTAAATTGTGTAGGAAATCAATGAAAAATGTAGAGCAAGGACACTGCTGACTGTGAAAAACACTCACTACTTGGTCCTTAGATATTACAAGTCACCAAACATCAAAATTTCAAGATGTTTTTGTAAGAATCCTTCCTAGCTTCCTCACCAACTTTTTTGTTGTTGATATTGTCAACCATTTGTTAAATTGGCTGACCAAATACTTGAACCTGATGAGGATAATTTCAGTGACTGTCGTGAGCATTGCAGAATACAATATACATTTCTTCCGTGTATTTGCGTAGCATAGAATAGGCATAATAGTTTTGAAGCTGTTACTACAATTTTCAACCATTGCGAGTACCTCTTGTGACTCAATCTTTCTTGAAATGTTCATTTCAATATTTCAATACATGTACATGTATTATATCACGATTACAAAATACCTTTCACGATTTTAAGATTTTCAGATTTGTGATTTCAGATCATTTGGACTTTTAAATGTCAACAATTGTACACATATCCCATCATACATTAGTTTTACTTTAAGGCATCAACTGTTCAACCTTCTCGTGCCCTACCCATGGTATTTTGGGTTCGTTTTGCTCAATCTCCAGTTCTTTTCTGTGTGGTGTTTTCTGAACTTTTTGTGTGTCTGTCCGTTTTTTTTCTTTCGGTCATGGTGTTCTTTCTTTCTTTTGAAAATGATGTTTAATTGCTCCCTTTAAATGAAATCTTCGAACTGTGTTAAATCGGAATAAAACGGGCTATTCTAAAACTTTGTATATTTGAATATTAATTGCGATTTTCTTTCAGTTTTATAGATTTAAAGCTTTTCTCTGAGGAAAAAGTAAGGAAATATGATTGCCAAAGGAACAACTATCCACAATAGACCAAAGTTTAAGGATGTAACCAACTATAAGACATCGTACGGCATATACTTAAAAAATATACTGTAAAAAGAAAACGCCGTACAGCCATCTATGAAGGCCTCGACATGACAATATACAATTTCGCAAAATATAACTTAATATGTATTGCTATAGTTATGAAAACGAATGGTCATTCATCCTGTCGATACTAGTATGTACTTATATCGGACTGTGATTGACGTTTTTACGCTAAATATGTTGGATGTGTACTGATTGATACTTTAGTTTTGGGGAAAATTATTTATCTATTAGTTATAATTGGCTTTAAGTTAGGGTCCAGTAGCTGATAATAGTCTTAGATTGATATTTTGTGTTTGTTGATCGTCTTTATGTTTGTTGTTTTTAGCTCTGTATCGATATGATGAGTTAAGCCATTTCTAATTGATTTTTTTCAGTTGGTTCTGATGTTCTGCTATTACACCACTGTCCCATGTTTGGGAAACGGTTCATGGATCAAAAACATGTTTCGACCTGCCACATTGGTTGTCGTTGTTTGTTGTCATATGTGTTTTCGTTTATTGTTTTATCATAAACTAACAGTTGATTTTTTTCATCGTTTGAATTGTTTCATAATTAGGAGGTTGAGGATCTCACACATAATGTCACGTAGGAGCCTTTAATAGCTGATTACATGGTATATGATTTGCTCATTGTTGGAGGCCATATCGTTGCTTACGTCCGCGACTTCCGACTATTGCATAGTTGTCTCATTGACAATGGATAGTTGTCTTATTGACAATCATACCTCATCTTCTTATTTTTATTTGGGTCTTTCTTCTTTTGGTTTTTGATTGCCTCCTTGGTATCTTCTCAAGGTTTACATATATCTATAAAAAAATATTCCTTAACTCATCAAACATTGGCCTAACTTAACACTATATATATATATATGTTTACAAGAGAAGTAATTTTGAAAATCCAATGATGTCTATCATTTGTACATTTTTCATAATAAATTGACCTTTCTCCGGCATGTCCCTTGATGGAAATCCAGAGACATATCGGGCGTTCAATGACATATGTATGCCATTTTAAACCCAGAAAACCCCATGGTGTGTAGTGTTAACCTTAAGAACCTATCTGACATGTAATGACTGGTATACTCAAAAACATAGTCTTGTGTTTTAGTTAACGTCACTGCGTGTGGACTTTTAGTACCCTAGGGTACTATCTGCCCAGTAGTTGGTAATTTGGCATGATTGATTTCAGAACACATATTTTGGTTATTTCTCAGGAGATAAACATGTGTAATTAGATTGATAAAAACTTTCCAACTATTTATCCATAGTTGACCTCAGACGGTGTTTCCTGGATTTGTACATCCTTGTTGTTTTTTTGTTTATTCATGTACATACACAACCCCAATGGGTGGTAGCTATGTTCATTGTATTGCTGATCATTTTTTGTGTATGTAGTTTCTGTTCATATATTGTCGTTTCAAGAAAGAAGGAAACATGTTACTATTGGTAGAAAAATCAATACTAGTAGTCATTTTCTGATATAGTGAATAAATTGGTGGTTTCAGTCAAATTTTACATGTTTGTAGATCTGGTATTGCTGATCATTTTGCTGTTGGTAGATTAAGATCATCTCCAAGAACGAAACACTATTAACGGACGCCATTGAAAGCAATTAGGTGAACACAAATTCAAATTCCTTAGCTAAAAATTGGGACGAGCACTTCTTTTGAATCACCACACCAACGACAAATAAAATCTACAAAAATAAAAATATCTTTCGTATTTATCACCAATTAAAGAAATCTGGAAGTTAAACTAATCTAGAATTTTTCACATCATTATGGTGCATGGCATGGTGTAAGTGGGCGTAAAAGGGAGCAATAATTTAGTCACTGCAAGTGCTATAGCAACAGAGACGAAAAAGTAAATAAATGAACTATTAAGATTTCTTTATATCCATTAAATTTGATGGCTGATACTAAGGGGTATAGGTTTAATGGTCCCTGCTTCCAGCGCCTATGACCAACAAATTATTTGGAAATCCGAAGAAAATCACAGTAATGAAAAATAAAAGGGAATGCTAAGTTTCTACAGTATTAATAATGAATTCAGTAAAGAAATATGCTATCAATATTGAACTTAAAAATATGAGGAAAGTTATGCCTATAAAAAGAAATTTTAGAAAAAGCATCAGCAATTTCAGCTTTCTTTCGAATATGGAGTGATATTAGTAGTCCTGAAGGAACAGGGTATATTACAGAAGCATATATATACGACACCCTCATATTTCCACGTAGACATATCAAGTTCGATAAGAAAATCGCACCACGCCAAGAAGTGTCTAGCAATGCCAATGTACGATGTATAACGCATAGTTGTGTATGGAAATTATAATTTTCGGTAAGAATCCCAGTCTTGTACTTTCAGT